ATTGTGTTTGGTTTGGTTTGGGCTAGGTTCCATTGGAATTCTCACTGCATATTCGTTTGTTGTTATTTTTCCACGGAACGACCGGGACTTCGTTGGTAGTCATTGATAAACATTGACAGCAGACTCGATTAGATACGACTGTTGATTCATCCTATCCCAATGAGCGTTGACATAGGATAGGAGCCGCGCGTTATAATATTGCTTGCTTGCATATGCTTCATGTTTTCGATGTGGTTGTAAGATTCATCTTCTTTGCCTCACAATGTAACCCAAAACACCATATCTGCACCTGCAAGTGTCAGCCTCTAAGTGCGTATCTGCATCTCTATGTAAGCATCTCGGAATTATCGTCATAGAGGGGATAGGTGGTGTGTAACACAACTTTATACATAAGCACCCAGCACCCCCGCTCACTCATAACCCCGTTAGCAAATCAAAAAGGGTGTCCTAGCCGATCCCTTATTTGTTCTTAGTACTCGTATCAATATGCCTTGCCTAGACTCGGATTTATACCTAACTCGGACTCCGTATGATGCAGACTATCTCTGTTCCCAAAAGAGAAGACGTGATTGGCGGAGTTGACATTGTTCTGCGGATCTCTCTGTATACATCGAAACATCTCATAAGCTCGGATTCTATCACGAATCATCACGAATCATTACGAACGGTACCTAATCTGCAAAGACAGAAGAAACAGAGACACAAAGGGTCAAACCGAAGGAGGGTGCGTATGGCACAAAAATGTATACTCCTCCCGCGTTTCCCATCAAACAACGCAACTTGGAACCCAGGAATGCAATCTGGCTAGCAGATTTAATGAATAAAACGAAAAAAAAGGAGAAATCCGGAAAACCCGGACTCTAAATCTTTAGGTAGTATTCTCGGAATTTTGGCTGTTGATCCGTGAAAATCCGGAACGCAATCGCCGACGACAAGTACACCTCTACTAAGAAAGCGAAGAAGTGAACTATGGTACGAGTATACTTCAAAGAGATGCAGCATCCGAATACAATACTAAGCCTCAATGACAACAGAAAGGCTTATGTCCTATAGAAAAGACGCCTAAACCATTCCACTTCACGCATCTCCAGTGTCTTTCGCTACCATATAGTTCCTAGGCGAAGGCATATATAGGTTGAGCCGAAAGGAGCTAGGCGGGCAGAACCAACAGCTTGATGAAAGTCAGAGAATGCAATGCAGTGCAATGCAATGCAATGCGAAACCAAAAATGCGGCCAACGTACTTCACAACAACCATAATAGGATAATTAATCAATCAAATATCTTCGTGGATATGGAATAGAGTAAGATAAGATACGTGCAGAAGATCGGCATATCGCTTACCAGGTACATGGTATGGTTACTAGGATCAAATCCTAGGGCTCCTGTTGTGTAATTCATTTAAAGGGTGATACCGAGACCGAAACCGACACTACTACTTGGTCGCGAGTAGTTCGTATAACGCGAGCCAAGATCAACAAAACCCAAGAGGGTAGTCAGCCAGCTCAGTAGTGAAAAAGGCCCGAGCCTTGACCAGGAGATTTCAAGTCAGATATCAAGGATCTTCGGATCTAGACCGGTCAATCTATCTAGCTTCGCTATCGGATTGGACGGCCTATTATCACGACATACGAAGATACACAGGCACAAAGCGGTCAAGCTGAGGTGGAGCAATATTGCAGATCTGCAAGGCGTGATCATAACTAGCTCATCCAGAGTTTCAATTTCCTGGTTAGGAGATGAATAAGGGCAGCTCGGTTACCAGAACTGACCAATGATTTCCAGTCCCAAGGATCATCCCATAGGGCAGAACCGCGTGACTGAGCGTAACAGTAACAATATAGGCAGCTGTAGTATTGTTGGAACTATCAAGACCCAAGACCATGGCTCATGGGTGCCTGCCTGCCTGAATCTTGTAGGCCGCCTGGCATACGTACCTCGATGTTCTTGAACCTGTGGCCCCGGGAATGTCAGCAAAGCGCGTGAACAGTAAATAACGGGCCGAGGAAATGATCTCAGAGCCGCTAAACCAGGGAGATTTTAACATCGGAGACCAATCGACAGCAGGGCCGGGCCGATCATCCACGTGCAAGTTAAGGGATGAGAAAACTGACAGGGCGGGATAGGGGGCCCGGTTGCCGAGAGTCGAGAGGCATGTCATGCCTGAGATCCCGTCTAAAAGGGTTATCAGTGACTGGAATGGCATCTTGGTCGGTGGCATGGGGGTCTCGCTGAGATGTGGCCCAAAGGGGCAATTGATGCATGGCTTTGATCCCTAAGAAGCACCAACACCACCCAGTTGATAGCAGGCTGGCGACATGGTCAGCACGAGTGACCAGGACTCCAGGGGGGGGCAATCAGCATGGTTTGTATCAAATGGGAAAGTGCTCCCCATGCACAGATGAGATGGTGCGTAGCTGCCTATGTGGGTACGTCTACCAGAAGGTTTCTTAACTCGTTTTTGGCTTTTCTCGGTTCGTGTCGGGATAGGTGCGGCCGGATAGTGTTCAAGCTGTTCGGCAGCTATTCCGAGAATGGGGTCTTATCACAACCCCCCGTTGACATTTTCAGAACCATATCCCTAACGACATCCCAAAAACAAATCGTTCTATCGAAGCGTGAGACATCAAAAAGTGGGGTGGGGAAGGTACTTACACCTCTTGTACCTACCTACACTACACCACCCCGTCAGCCACGCACGCAGCGGCTCCTTCCGCCAGCCGGACCAGGGCCACATCCGCCGCCAACCTTTTTTGGAAAGGAGTCAAGACGATCACGTCAATCGCGCCTCCAAAGTCACTGCCCTTCACAAACCAGGAACGCGCGGCAGCAGTTTTCGTCTCCGAAAATGATAGGAGATGGCTCGGAGCTCCCTCGGCCATCGTATCGTTGATTTGCCAATATCTTTCGTTCTGGGAAACCCGGGTTAGCCGGCCCGATTCCATCCCTCACAACTGGCTCGTAAGTGAAGCTGTATTGTCTCAATGCAGTCGCACGGCGGTCAGATGGTAGGATTATACCCACCCCTTGGTGTTTGATGGTGCCTATCCCTGTGTGTAAGAGAAGAGGAAAAAAGGAAAGGCAAAAATGATAGGCGGTAAAGTTGACTCTGCTGAACAGACGAGTTCCTGCGTCTCATAGTCCTCAGGTACCTCGACCCCTCGTGATCTCCTCGCGGTGGAATGTTACGGCCCATCATTTTGTGCCCTTGCTGGTCTTTTCTCCTTGCATAGAACCAATTCGACTTACTTTCTGCCGCAAGTAAAAAAATGGAGGGCGTCACAACCTGGAAGACCGATCTCGCCGTCGTCGGCGTCGTGGCCGCCATCGTACGGGTTTTCCTCCCGCTCAATGAGAAGAACAGAGGCTAACAATGGTGACCATAATGAATTGAACAGACGACCACAATTCGACAAAATGCTCACAAATACTTTGAGCGGACCATGCCCGAATGGCTCAAGCTCAAGGAGGACATCCGGAGCCGTCTCGCGGTCGAGGTTGCCGTCATCCCGTCGCGAATCGTGCTGTTCTACCTGACCCTTCCGCTCATGCTCGGCGGGTTCTCGCCCATGGACTCGTGGACGGCTGATGACACGGCCCGATCGCTGCTGTCGTGGTAAGTCTGTCTGCAAAACGGACACGCACTTCCAGCTCAAAGTTTCAGATCCTGACCACAGAAAAACAGTGCCATCCTAACAGGCGCCTACATCGTCGACCTCACCGTGACGCGCACCGACAAGTTTGCGACTCTCCACCACGTTATGGGTCCCGCAGTCCGTAGACTCTTGTGATGTGTCTTCGCAAGCATGGTGCTCACAATTTCACAGCTGCTTCTGTGGATCCGCACCTGCTTCTCGTCCTTTACGTCGTCGGACGCGCTTCTCTGCCGGCTGCTGTGGGTGCATCCCATAAATACTCTCATGGTCATAAAAAGCAACTAATATGCTTTGGCTAGCATCCAATTTGTCTTTTTCGGGGCCACCATATCAGGCGCAACCACTACCACTCTCGTCTTTCTGTACCAGTTCCGCAAGACGTGGTTCCAGTCCGCCGAGGGCAACGCTTACCTGTATTTCACGACATTGCTGCCTGTGCTGACACTCACAACAATGATCTCAACCTTTTATTGCACCATTTACATCCACGCCTGGTTTGACGAGCTGCTCAATTATTTTGGGGTATGTTAGCTACAACTTGCTACTTTATTATGATCATCACAGCCTTGGCTAACACACTTCTCCACAGCATCCTTGGGGATACGCACCTCTGGCGTGGGTCGTAAGCAACTCCCTTTTCCTTCCTTTTCGCGCCTTTTAAGTACTCACTGCTGACTTGAATGATTTTCAAAAAAGATGCTAGAATGTGGCATGCAGTGGAAGTGGCTGCTTTGGTTCTACGGATTCGAGGAGTGGTACCGAGCCACGACGGCCGAGGACCCGACGGTTCCCGAGGACGCAAAGAAGCGCATCACTGACGTCGCGGCGGGCGCGTGGTGGCTGCCTCGCTGGCGGTTCGCGGCCATCAAGGCGCTGGTGGTCGTGTGGCTCGGCACTTGGGTCGGCATCGTCCACAAAGCGGGCGACATTCAGTGGGTGGTCAACAAAGCTGGTGAGTTGGTTATGGCGGCCTGGGGAGAGGGCGTCAATCTCCGGGTTGGAAACCAGTCGGGTGTTGAGGCGCACGTCGAGCTGTGATCGCGAACTGGAGAGGCAGAATGAAGACCCGGACGCCTGAGAAGTGTTACACAACTTGAATGACCTCGAACATGAAGTCTGAAGAAGGGAGAACCGGAGCATAACTGTCTTATCAACGATACACGATGTTTTTGAAGCTACAACATTGCTGGTGATGTAAAAAGAATCCAAGAGAACACACAGCCATAATGATGGTGAGCAAAAAGACGAAAAAACCAACTGTTCAAGTTGATCAGAAGATATTTCAACAAAAGTTAAAAGTTCAAAGATATAACGTTATCTGAAAGTCGAACAAAAATTCAACGTTCGATCGAGCTGGGACTCGAACCCAGAGCCTTTGCCAGCTTATCACATGACCGGAAGACAACGCGCTACCATTGCGCCACCCGACCTAAATTGCTGCGTTTTGATCCGGGAAAAAGTGCTCGTGAAGTGTGAGCATCGTGCACGGGCCATCCTCTCACACCACCACATTTCCACTCATGTTCGTTCACTGGAGTCTGCCTCACTCTTCCAAGTACAGTCACAAACCGGAGGAAAACTCGCTGTGATCAAAAGCTAGCATTGCCTATGTAATTCTTTACATACTCAGAAATGATGAATAAAGCTACTCTCCGAAATATTCTCGATCGCGACTTGGCACCCAGACTCACTTCACCACCTAGCTTACCTCACAAATAATACGGAGTATTGCAGCCCCGATATCTCATCTCATCTCATTTTCAGCCAAATGACATTTTTGCGGCACCCAATTATTCCCCCAAAATACCACATCCATGTTCTCCCTCTTTAACGCATTGCTTGCAAATGGCAAAGTTGCATCGTCATGACTGGTTGAGGAAATATATCAATATTTAGCGCAGTCTCCTTTTCCAAAACAAACCACTGGCAATCTTCTAAATACCTCGCGAGCGCAAATATTTAGTTTCAGGCTATCCTCCATCTTGCTCATCGATCCAAACTCATCATCGCACTGCTTATTGAAATCAAATCTTAACGCTCCACTCAACATCCTCCAATCCCTCCCGCCGGCGGATCCTCACAAACTTCGAAGCCAAGGTCTTCTTATCGTTCGCCTCACCAATAAAGCCGCCGGCATACGCTGGTGCAACAATGTTGTCGCCCTCTCTCTCCGCAGAAAACTCCAGCGCCATGATCATCAGCGCACCGCTAGCCAGGATCTCCAGCTTGGCCAGATGTCTTCCCGGGCACAGATGCACGCCGCCGCCGTACGGCACAAAGCCCTGCTCTCTCGCGCGGCCTTTGCTGTCCGCGGCTGAGCCACCCGGCAGGAACCGCCAGGGGTCAAAGACAGTGGCATCGCCGCCCCAGATCTGGTCGCGGCTGTGCAGCATGAAGGTGGGTATCGACACGCGCTGGCCCTTGTTCACTTTGATCTGGTGGCCCGTCTCAGGGTCTGTGAGAACGGTGTCGTTCAGAACGGCACGGTTGCACTATCACACATGTCAGCACAGTAACCACCGAGTTTGGGGGATCAAATCAACTTGCCGTCGGCGTGGACCCAATACGCAACGCCTCCTGGTAGCATGCAATGAGCAGGGGGCATGTCTTGTCTGCCGCGGAGAGATCGAGCTCCTGCTTCTTCCTTCCATGTGTCTTTCCGTCAACAGGTAGGGTAGTGAGCACGCCTTGCAGCTCGTCCCGTACAGCGGCGAGGAGCTTCGGGTTGGCGAGGATATTGTAGATCATCGAGACAGCAGTGGGCACGGTATTTACAGTGGCGACCTTTAGGGGGCAGGATCAGCAGTGATATGTTAATGCGGTATCAAGATAGACTGACCGAGATGTTGAAGACCTCGAGTCGTGCGTAATCATTGTCGCAGAGTCCGAGTTTGCGCGTCGCTGCAATCGTGGACTTGACGGCCTCACTGGCGAGTTCGTATCGCCCCTCGCGCACGTAGGCCTCAAAGGCGTCCGAAATGCGCTTGACGGCGCGCACGCCCGCCGGTGCAATCCATGACTGCAGGAAGCCCCATGTCATTGCAAGCTGGTTCTCGTCAAAGATCCTGCGAGTTCGAGTCCGTCAGAAGGGAATAAAAACAATGTTGCACTAATTACCACGTACCAGATATCCTCGATCAAAGTCGGGTCCAGCGCCACAGGATTCTTGGGTCCGTACAAACCCATGACCGTGCCAGAAGTTATGACATCACGCAGCCAGCGGAAGAGATCTTGCTTCTCCCATTCTGTGCCGAAGGCGTTGACGGCCGCTGCAACGGTGTTGGAGGCGATTTCGCTTGGTCCAGTGAGAGATGGGCCCGGAGCCAGGAGCCTTGAGAACTACTTGCGCTTAGCTTGTGCCTACAACCCTGTGTTGTAGTCATACCTCGACCCGGCGCTCACTCAGCACGGGAGATCCCACCCAGTTGCCCCTCTTGTCAAGGCCAAGAATGCCGTTGGCTTCCTTGCTCAAACCCAGCATCCGGGTAACAACCTTTTCTGGTTGTCAGCTGGCAGCACTTTCTTGGAGAGAAAATTTGTGTCCTACCATGGCGCTGAGGGGTTCGAGGGACAGCATTCGGCTTCGCAGCGCTACGTGCGACAGCGCCGGCGTAGTTACAACGTAGGTCTTTAGGTTAAGTATCTGAATGGTATATGCGGGCCATCGTGTTTGCCGGCTTTGTGGCATCATGTTAGCTTGCGCCCTCCCGCTGCCACTGTGCACAATATCTTACCGCAAGATCTCCAAGTAGCCAATGTTGTGTCTGTAGAATCCGAGCAAATGACCAAATATGGGCAATGATGTACTTGAGACGGGAGGCTCCTTTGTGGCCCCATCCCCCGCAGAAGGCTTGAACATGAAGTGCCAAGAGGCCAGCAAGAGGCAAAAGCCGACACCTACGAGTAGAGACATATGCCTTGAGCCCTGGCTAGGGGAGAGGAGCATACCAGAGGCATCAGACGAGCTGTTGACGCCCATGTCCATGGCTGCGGCTGTGGATATCGATTGGACTTCAGTGATGGCGCTTCGTTGGTGAAAAGAGCAAAAACAAAACAAAAGTCCATGTAGTGTTAAGATATCAAGTGAATCAAGTTCTCTAGGTTAAGCTGATGAAATTGACTCCCGAGAGACACCTAGATGGAAGGGACTGAAGGGAAGAAATTGTCGACAGAATATCTCCTTCCGCAGTCTCCCCCAAAAAGACTCTGATTCCTGGCCACCAGGCTGCCGCGCTGCCGGGCTGCCGGATCTGAATTCGTCGTCCCCGCTTCTGTGTCGCCATTGCTTCAAGGTACAGAAAGTTTGTACCTCAGTCTCCGGGGGTATTAGGTCTAAACTGAGGGGAGATGTGGGCGTGCATGTATCATCAACCGAGACCTGGCCAGGAGTAGGGATATGCATCCCTCATTGGCGAGGCATTCCGACATTGCAGAAAATAAAAGCGGGCGGCGATTGCTGACATCCCCATGGCCACGTTTGTGGATGTACAGTTTACATCCCACGTCAGACAGTCAGACACACTAATTCGATAGGTGCATATCAGGGATGTTCCCGTGTGTTAATCCCGCGCCGCATTCCATGGACATCTTGACATGTCGCCCGCTGGTACGCGAGAATCATTTTGAATCAGCCGCAAGTTCCGACCAGGGGTTCCAGACCGTCAAGGCCTCATGGTGTGGTCGGGAGGTCGTGATGTCCAGATTGGACGAAGCAAAGTGTCAATAGCAAATGTCATTCTTTTGGCTCAGGCACAGTGTGGAGCAGTTCGGATGAGGGAATTCTTGGGAAATAATGCCCTTGTTCGACGCCCTCGTGTGCGCGGTTCCTGATTTTCGTTAGCAAGCGAGACCCAAATGATATTGTGTTCTCGTTTCAACTTTCGACACCTCGTCACTGCCACCTCGTAACTTGATAGCGTGGACATCAAACACCCTTCCCAAACGCCGGCTGCAATATGGTATCTTGTTCATAGATTTTGCACCGGATTTTACAAATACATCGCGGCAAAATGACAATCACGTCCATCATTAGCCTTGGCTCGACCCTAGCCTTGGCGACCTACCTCAAGGCGTCTGGGGCGGGGTTACTGCTGAGCGTTGCCGCATCTTCGGCCGTACAGCTCGTCGTGTATCTCGGATATTTGAGCTTGGTGTATCGGTGGTTTGTGTCGTCCACGAAGGCTCTTCCTCATCCAAAGGCAGGTCGCCGCCTTTGACAGCTGCACAAGGACGCCGAGCTGACTTGAATTTCCTCGTTGCAGGACACCCCCTTCATCCTAGGAAACTTGATCCCATTCCTGAGCGAGCCATGGGGTTTTCCCCTTTCCCGCTGGCAGGCCGATATTCCTAGCACAGCAAGCGGTTTCTACCGCATTTTCCTCGGCCCGTTCGACTTCCTGATTCCAAAGAGTACACAGGCCGTCACCGCCATCATGACCCAACCATATTTGTTTGAGAAGCCGGCGGCGGTTCGAGACGGTCTGGTTGAGAGTCTTGGGACGGGCTTGGTTGCCGCTGAAGGGGATGTCCATCGCGTATGTATGATCTGGCCCAGAACAAAGATTCAATAAGTCTGATGTCTCGTAGCGCCAGAAGAAACTTCTTACTCCCATCTTCGGTCTGAGTCGCAACCGCCGCTTGGTCCCGCAAATGTGGTCCAAGTCCCAGGTGCTGGCCAGTACAATGAAGGGACTCGTAGAAGAGCCTGGGGAAAGGTCAAAGGTGCTCCAAATGCATCCTTTAACCATGGCCGCCACACTAGATGTCATAGGCGCGGTAAGCCAGTTTGCCGTTCGACATGTCCATGTTTCCTTCCCCTATCTGACAGCTTTCCACAGACAACTCTTGGGGTGGATTTCGACTCCGTACGCAACCCCGACCAGCCTATCCTCGAAGCATATCAGCGCGTCTTTCCTTCCCTAGAAAACCAGAGCCAAACACAGCGTTTCTTTGGCGCTACGCTGCCAGCAATCATTTCGCCCCATCTTTTGTTCAAGCTTCCCTTCAAGCCGATTCTCGAGTTCCACAAAGGCATGGCTATGCTGCGAAGGTTCTGTATCCAGCAGATCCGAGAGAAGAAACGCGAGATTGAGGAGGCTAAGATGGATGACGAAGAGATTCGAGAGAAGGACATTCTGTCTGCCCTGATCGCGTCGGGTCTCCAGGATGAAGAAGAGATGCTCAGCCACATTTTGACAATCCTCGCAGCGGGGTAAGCCAGTGTGCTGTCCACCATGTCCATATTATCTCCCTCTACCTGACACCCCACTTTCCACAGACACGAATCTACCGCAATAACCCTCGCCTGGGCGATTCTCAAACTTGCCCAACACCAGGATGTGCAAAACAAATTGCGGGCCGAGATCCAAGAGGCTCAGGCCCGGCTCGGCTTCGGTCCCGAACGTCCGCCGACGCTCGACGAGATCAACGG